TTTTTTTTTTTTCAAATACCTTCACTCACCCAAACCCCCCCCCACACTATTTTTTTTGTATGAGGGGGTGGGGCTGGGGATGCGCCGCCCCATGGCGCTTCCCGAATCCCGAACCCCCCTCCCCACTGGCCGCTATGCGGCCGCGCAGACACGTCCGCGAGGTCGCGGCCTAGGCCGCGGATGACCGCCGCCGAGGGGGATTCATAGCCACCATATAGTTCGAAGGAGGAGGAAAAAGTAGTTCACTCCATCGCAAAACAGGTGAACACCCTAACCTCCCATCCCCTTACCGCCTTCCGCACAAACTTATAACAGCTAAACCACCATCTCAACTGCAGTTGTGCCCTAATCCAATCCCGCCAGCTAGCCCTCCTCACCAGCGGGACGCAATATTAGCCAAAAGAACTTCCCCCCTCCACTTCAGTCTCACGCCTGTTTTATAGGCAAGTAAAGGACACCTGATCCCCACCCACACTCTTCCTAACCCCCTTATTCAACTGCATCCCGCGACAAGCCGACCTCCTCCACCCTTGGTTCGCGAGACGAAGAAAAAGTGAAAGCGGACCACCCTCAACTTCCTTTTTCGACAACCCGACCTCCTCCACCACATAGTTCGCAGAAGAAAACCGAAAATGATCCACCATCTGAAACTTGCCAGCCCTACCCTAACCTCCAAAACTGATCAGAACCTTCACTTGATTGCCCCAAACCAAAGCTAACTCATCAGGGGAGGGCAATCTGAATTTAAGAACCAAGTTGAGTCATGAAAATCAAGGGATTAGAATTCGAAAGCTGATTTATGAGTATCAGAACTTCATGCAACGGAGTTGAGTCATGAAAATCAACAGATTAGGATTCAAAATCTTATATAAGTATTAGTATCAAGCGGGGGGGGCAAAACTAAAACTGCCTACTATCCTAAATTCCCCCCCTCAAGAGACGGAGTGTCAGTCCAAGCTTTCAGTCCTCGTACCAGAACTCACTTGATCTCATACCCCCTTCTGCTAGGGTAGCCGGGCACCACAACCCTCCCCAGTACCGACCAACCTAGTTGTGACGGACAGGAAGTGCCTTCCTCCCTCGACAATTCCCTTAGCGGCAAGCCCCTAAACAGGTTATAGGGTCAATACCCCGGCGCCGACCACGTCGGACGGTCTGGTTATGCGTTCGGCATAACTTCACAGACCTCAAGCTCCCCCTGGGTCACAGAGCACAAGCTCCAGCACCGGCCTGTGTCGTCCCAACATCGTCCTTCTAACCTACTTACCCTAAACGACAACCTTCCTCTGTTGAGAACCCTTTACTACCTTCCATCCTCTAATTCTAGCTTCCCCTCATGATTTTTGAATAGAAAATCCTTCAGAATCCTACTTTTGGTAATTGGTAATTAGGAACAAATTTCGGGAAAAGAAACAACAAGATTTAACATAATCACGAGACCATTGAAGTTCTAAAAAATTAGAGATCACTATTCAAGATCAGAGATGAGGCTCTGATTTATAATCGTCAATATGAAAGGAACAAATCGAGAGTTATCCAGAAATTTTGGAGATCATTCACGATCCCACTGTCTTGAATCAGGTTTGTAGATTATTCTTCATGAGTTCATTGAGAATCTAAAAAATTAGAAAAAATTATTCGAGATCAGAGGCAAAACTCTGATTTACGATCATCAACATGATAGGATCAAATCGAGAATTATTTAGAAAATTTTGAATTCATTCATGAGTCCGCAGTTCTTGGATCAAATTAGAATTGAAAACCTAAAGCCACCTGTCAATGATGTGATGAGGAAATCAAATAGAAAAATCCAAAAAAAAACAAAAAAAATTGAAAACCAGAGATTAAAAAAATAGACTTACAATCATCTGAAAATCCAAATCGGGTTACTATCTTGAAGATACTTCCAAAATAGCGAGATCAGAACGAAAAAACGGAGGTCACTCAAGCCACGAAGAGCAAAAATATGGATCAAAACATATAAACCGACCTCTCATCATGATGTGCCTGTCTCCCCCAAACCTTCACCCCCTCCCTTATCGGCCCGAAGGCAACTCAGCCATCACATGGCCACTCTCTCGGCCAGCAAGAAAAGGACTGAACAGTAAGGACTAACGGACCGTGGCTTCACTTACCCCTTACTTGCCACGTAGCAAGACAAAACCACCGAACCTGCTGGTGACCCCTCACTGGTAGACTGTAGTCCGGGGGGGAACAGACCTTCCATGCCCTTCGTTGCCCTTCAACACCTACCTCTTTCGTTAAAAACGTGACACCCCGCCCTTCGTAGCTTTGATGATTATGCTGGCATCCCATACCCTTCGCAGCCCTTCACAAGCAGCCTCTTCGCAGTAGCCTCATCCTCTACGCACGATGCATCACCCTTATCGCCATCCTTCCCATCATCCCCTTCACCCCAAAACTTCTCCACCACCACCTCACACCACCCCGAAGCCACTCCCCCCAGCACCACACCGCACCGCCGCTTGTTGCTGTCCAGCACCGCTTGGTTCACCATCGCGCTGCTCCGCCGCAAATCGCCACTCGCCGCTGCTCGGTTCACCATCGCGCTGCTCCGCCGCAAGTCGCCGCTCGCCGCTGCTCGGTCTGACTGCGCGGGCGGGGCGCAGCGGTCCCGGCCGCGCTGTGCCCCCTCTTGAGTTGGCCTTGATTCGGTCGCTATCCTGCTGCAGTTTCCAGGGTCCATGGGTTCCTGCGAGGACCGTCCATGAAAGTACTTGTGCAGGCTGGGAGCTATACAAAACTGGGGCCTCGTTGCACTACTCTAGAATATCGAAATATTTCGAGAGTTCGACTCGAAATATTTCGGGAGTTCGACTCGAAATATTTCGGGAGTTCGACTAGCGTTGTCAGAGAGGCGAGACTCGACATACCCTGCAGCGGGCCTTCATCTGCCCTGGCCTACAGCCAGGGCCTATTTGGCTATTTGCCAGTTCGGCCTGTGGGACCAGGCCGTGGCCTGACCCCACAGGCCGTATATTGTTTCAGTCCAGTCCAGTCCCGCCCGGTACCACGGTCGGTACCAGGCCAGTCCAGTCCAGTCCAGTCAGTCCGCTGGGGGTATACCCCAGCTGCAGTCTGTTTTTCGGTATTYTTCACTTTCGCAGATCTTGGAGTACTTGCGCGTGGAGTCTGCGTCGGAGCTGCGCCGTCCCTTCCAGCTCCATCTCTACCTCCTCCTTCGTCTCCATCCTAACGGACCGCCATCCCRGCGGGTCCGGCACACTGGTATCAGAGCGGGAACGGTCCCGGCTCCAACCCGCCCTTCCCCCCGCTGGCAACAGCGGGTGCGGGATAGGTGTAATCCCGAGAGCGGGATTTTCAGGGTTTTTTTGGTGGAAAACAGCGCNAGTCCCGCCCGGTACCACGGTCGGTACCAGGCCAGTCCAGTCCAGTCCAGTCAGTCCGCTGGGGGTATACCCCAGCTGCAGTCTGTTTTTCGGTATTCTTCACTTTCGCAGATCTTGGAGTACTTGCGCGTGGAGTCTGCGTCGGAGCTGCGCCGTCCCTTCCAGCTCCATCTCTACCTCCTCCTTCGTCTCCATCCTAACGGACCGCCATCCCGGCGGGTCCGGCACATACCCGCCGTCGCTGCACTTATTGTCGAACCTGTTACACTAGATGCACTCTCGAAATCCCGGCCATCGTCGGACTCCACATAAGACCTGTACCACTACGCGACGGGACAACACCAGGCTGGTCTGGCCGCCGGGACAGGAAGTCCACTCCCGAAAAAACGAGCCGGTAGGCGGGCAACTTGCAAGCACACTAGCGAATTCGTGTTTTGCAGGCGGGCGACTCTCGACGTTTCAAGAGTGGCCTTATACCTGAGTAAGTGCAGCGACAACCCACTCTGGAAACTTCGAGAGAGTAGAGTAGTGCAGCGAGGCCCCTGGAGAGTCTAGAGTAGTGCAGCGAGGCCCCTGGAGAGTCAATTTTCCACGGTATTTCTGACAAATGTCCAAAGCCATTTTGCACACCGATAATGGACAGTAAGTGGAGCGACAACCCACTGTCCATTTCCGTACACTGGACAGTAGTGGAGCGAGGCCCATCCCCCCGATTTCTTCGTTAGACATAGGTCCTCGAAAATCTGAAGGCAGGAGGGAAACATCCTTCTGATTTCGGGAAACATCCTTCTGATTTCTGTTTTAGAGTTTCTCTTTTTTTTTTTTTTTGGAGTTTCTCTTTTTTTGGGGGTGGGGGTGAGTGTCAGAAGAACCAGGCGCTATGTAGTTCCCCTGAGACATGTAGTCCCAGGGGCGTTGATAGGCCACGTAGATGGCTGACTTCTCTGTGATTGCAATTCTACTGGTTTGTGTAGTAATGGTCTTCCGTCACTGAGTCAAACAGACGGAAAAGTACGCCAGTCAAGAGAGAGGTTGGAATCCATAGAGCTCAGGATCATCTCGGGGTGCGGACGACATGGGGCCTCGCCGCACTATTCACAAAATGTGCACAACCGAACAGTTATCTTCCGGTAGTACGGTAAAATATGCACGCTCCAAAGATTGTCCTTTCCATATTTGTTGAGAGATGTGGCGACGCGCATGGTCGACGGCAGCCATCAATCGTGAGCGCACGTGAGGAAGGAGGGAGAAAAAAAGTCAGTCTGGCAAAGCCATACCTTTTTCTGTTCTTTTTTCTGGAGTTGTACAGCCAACATGACCACAACGCGCGCGCGCGCACACACACACACACACACAGAGAGAGAGAGAGACAGAGAGAGAGAGAGAGAGACAGAGAGAGAGAGACAGAGACACAGAGAGAGAGAGAGAGAGAGAGAGAGAGAGAGAGAGAGAGAGAGAGACACACACAC